CCCCAAAACCCCAAAACCCCAAAACCCCAAAACCCCTCCTGGTCATTAAATTATGGAATTATAAATTTAAACTTTGCTACTAATACTTAGAACCAACAATGTCTTATGCTGATTACAAATGGATATACGGGCACGGAGGTGGCCAACGCAAGAGCGACCGGGATGCCAAGTACGACAAATATGGGGACAGAGAAGTCATGGAGGCTGAAATCGAAAAGGAAGCCATAATGCTTTGCAATGCTAAATAAACTTGAGAAAATCATGGGTTATAAAGGATATTTCGAGTTTTTGAACATAGAGTACCCCTCTCCAGTATATTTCGAAGGAATGCTTTATGCCTCAGCGTCTCATGCTTACCATGCTGCTAAGTCCACTGATGAAGTAGTGCGAAGGAGGATTTCAAAAATGTCGATGATAGAAGATTTGAATAACACCAAGAAGTCTTCACTTATAACCACTATTGTAGAGCCAGAAGATTGGAAGCTGAGAAGGCTCGGAGTCATGGAAACTGTGAATAGGGATAAATTTAGGAGAAACAAAGAACTGAGAGAGAAATTATTAGCTACCCAAGGAAGAGAGCTTGTCAATGTGGTTCCTTTGGAGCATGACTCTGAGGACAGCTTGTTCTGGGGAGTTATCAAGAACCAAGGGCAGAACCAGCTTGGAAGGATACTTGAAAATATCAGAAAAGATGCTATCCTTAATAAGGAACTGGAGAAATGGGTATGCTGTAATTTTAGACTTCAAACTGACAGAAAAGCTATCCCAATCGTTAAATTCGATGTTTATAAGGGTGGTAGTGTTCTTGAGAAGATCGAACTAGAAGGAAGATCTTATTTCGTATTTGGATCAAGAGAGGAAACAGCAGATATTGTAATGCTGCATCCATCAATCTCAAGAACCCATGCTCTTTTAGTAATAGATTGTGATTCGAATGTGATTCTCATCGACCCTGGTTCTAAAGCTGGTACCCTAGTCGATGAGGTTCCGATATCTAATAACATGCCGTATATTCTGAAAAAGGATCAGAAAATAAAGTTCGGTCAATCAACTAGAGAATACCAAATAAGTATTGACTATTCAAAGGTATTTCCCAGCCCTAACCTATAGAGTCTAAATTTCTTCGAACAAGAGAAGAGCAAGCTTGAAAAGGATCTTAAAATCCTAGAGAACCTCGAGGGTGAAGATCTCGACCTCGATACTCTCCAAAAATCTCTAGGCTTGAACAAGAACGATACCGTCTGGGTTGGGAACCTACTTCCGAGTATCAAAGAGGACGAACTCAGGGAGATCTTCGAAGAATGTGGCAAGATTAAGAGTATCAGAATCCCTGAAGACTACAACACTAAGCAAGGGAAGGGGTTTGCCTTCATTACTTTCTCTGATGATAAAGGAGCCAAGAGTGCTCTCTCAAGGGACGGAATCCCTCTGTACAAGAAATTCTTAAAAGTATCGATTGCTGAAAACAAACCTGAGCTAGAGTCTAGGTCAAGAAAGGGTTTTAGAGAAGAAAGCAAGGAGAGGAGAAGAAGACGTAGAAGAAGTGACTCTAGAGAGAGAAGGAGAAGAAATCCGAGGAGAAGAGATTCCTTTGATACTTATGATGATTATAAAAGAAAGAAGTATAGGAGAGACAGGAAAAGAAAGAGAAGTTACTCTGATAAGTCTAGCTCGTCTTCGAAGTCTCATGGTTCGAGGAGGAGAGATAAAAGTTCGGATTCATCTAATATTGAACATTAGACATTCAATTTTGTTGTATTTTTAAGGGGTTTTGGGGTTTTGGGGTTTTGGGGTTTTGGGG